TGCAGGAATGTTGCCTATTTCTAGCCCTGCTTCGTTGTTCTTGCTGAGACAAGCACAGCCTTTGCTCTAGGAAGAGAGGTGGGGAAATGGGGACAGAAGAACAGGTACAGCAGGAGTGGGAAGTATGGAACAGGGCAGAAAACATGCATCTCATTCATATTTTGTGGGGAATTTAATCTCTCAACTGGGGGATCTAGGTGCACACAGATTTGGAAAAAGGTTGCACTGAACATCAGCATTTACAACAAGCAGAAAATGGTATGCTCCATGACTGAGGAAAATATGAATAACATTATATGGGAAGATGGAAAACCACTCATTCTTTAAGCCCATATGGGTGCACCCAAGAAAAAGGACGATTGCCCATTTTCACCAAAATCATGAGGTCAGTGGCCTGAAATTAAGTCATGCCCCCTCAATGTCTCAGAGATATTTTCCATTAAAATTTTTAGAGCATATTCAGAACAACATGAAATTTTAATAGAGTAAAATAAGTGACTCATATTTCAGTTGATAAGCACCATCTTGGACACAATAAAAATACAATAACATAAGTAACATTTTTTCTCTTATCTTCTTGCCAGTGGGTGAAAAGCATCTCAGAAACATCATTTAATTTGAAGAAATTTACAGAAGTTATACACACAAACCTTTTAACTTCCTTTCCATCAAAATAAAAAAATCCACACTCTAAGAATTTCTGGACTTGAGGTTTAAGGACACTGTGTAGTTTTTCTGCCTTTCCACCTTTAACCATTTGATGATAGTCGAAGTTCACCATTTTGATATCAGCTGAATGTTCAGATGCTTTCAAATGGCTCTGATATTGTAAAAAGAGAGGAAAAAGATATACATATACCAATATCTGAACACATAGTAGTATAAGCTAAATAAGAGGCTACAGATATTTTTGAAAGCTGTTTTCTTAGCTATCTTCTTTATCACATGCTTTCTCTAAGGTAAAATGAAATAATTTTTATCACTATTGTTCAACAAATCACTCAGAACTGATGAAAATTTCCCTGTGTTGTTTCTGGTTTTTGTCACAAAGTCATTTTTTTCCTTACTATACTAGGGGTCACCAAGACAGTCTACAGCCTCTTCTACTGTTAAAATGCTTTGATTTGCAAAGAGTTGTTTCAGTGGAAACCCTTTTCACTCACAGTCACCATTTTAGACACACCTGCCAGCAACAGGGACTGAGTAAACTCCCTATAAACACTGAAAAAAACCCCAGTCAAATTATTTAGGTTGCTGTGAAGGGTGGCTTAAGCAAAACTTTCCTTAATATTCCCTGAACAATCTTGGAGTGCTCACACAATCTTTGTTGGCAAAGCTATGATCTGCATTGATATGCATCTGGGAGCACTAATGTCTCCTACCAGGATTGCTGTATACAGAAAAGATACAAGTGAATTGCCTAAGACATTCAACCATTATAACACAAGGGGAGAGGGAAAAAGGGAAATAACAGATGGCTAGTGTTCTCTGGCTTCAGACAGAACTTCTCAAATTGTCAGTACAATGTGACAGTTATTTTTAGCATAACTAGTGGGAATTCATGAAAATGGCCACTTATAGTTAACATCTTCTGAACAAACTTTCCTGTTTAATCATGAAGCAGCTTTCATGTTTAAATTGATTAAGTTAAATTGTGGGTGGTTGTTTTTGAATATTAAGGAATATATCCAGGAATTCCAAGAGAAAGATTTTAAAAATAAACATCGTAGATTAAATACCACAATGTATCATTTACTTATTCACCAATTTTATAGTGCAAAAAGGATTTATTTTTAAAATAAGCCACTATTAAGCATGAAATATGAAAATAACTTAAAATCCCTCAACAGTGTCTATGTTGCTGTTATAATTATTCAGTATAGTAACCAATCTGAACATAATCAAACACTTTCTGTATCTTAAGCACTGTTTTTATGATAATACAATTTGAACCACAAGTGGTAGAGCATAGCATACCTATTTCATTTTTCGAAGGCTCTATAAAAGCTTCATCACAAACAGGCAAATTCCAAGGATATGCAGTGAGAGAATTGTCATACTCACCTGAAAAGCTTTGCTGAGCATGTGCTCCCCTTCTTTTGCCCCAAGTAAATTTACAATAATTTGCTTGCCATATAAATTTTTAAGAGTTTGGAAATGCCTGTTAACAGAAGAAAAATTCCACACTCACCTTCTGGCATGCACAAAATTAACACAAACACCTGCAACACTGACTGAGATGCTGCAGAAATGTACTGGGTACTCTTGTACCACTGCAAGCCTTTGATTATGTCATGTCCAAACAAATCAGTAAAACTCAGTAATAGCACTAACCACTGACTGCTACTCAATTAGGATAATAACACCAATTTAACAACATATATTTAGTTAAAACCATAAGGCTGTGAAGCTGAAGTGTCATGGCAGGAATAAAATCAAAATATAGATTTTACTTTTATACAGCAGTTGACAAATATAGATTATTCAATGCAAGCATGCTATAATTTTGGTTGGGGTTTTTTTCACTATTTTAAATTTTTTCACTATTTTAAATTTTCTTCAGAGTTTTCAGCAAAGCACTCAAAGGCACAAACAGTCCCGTAGAAGTTTGAAAAAACTGCCCAAGCACTTTGCTGCTTCGCTGAATCACACATTTCTATAAACAGAGCCTCCCATTTGGAATAACACATCCCATCCCCCTGATACATCACTTATCAGAGGTTTGCAGTGCATTAACAAAAATTCAAGAAATTCTTTCACCTGTCAAAAGCTGGTGCATTTGCCTCAAAACCCCTTGACATTCTGACACGATGGGATCCCACCTATGACATAAAGATTACATGAAATTATTTGTCTTTACATATTTGATGAATTGCTCTTCAAAGACCTATTTTGATCCTAAATATGGCCTAAAAATCATTTCACTTTCTAAATGAAATCTCCAAAATTTATTCTTCATGCTATGGTGTGCATTCTTTATTTAGGCTTTTCTTAAATTCCTCTTCTTTTTTCTATTAAAAACCAAACAAAAAAACACAAACCCCTCTTTTTTATTTAATATACTTAGTTAAATAATCTATTGTTTTGATTAAAAAGCATGTACATGTTTCAGCGCTTCTATAGCAAAACACTTGTATGTCTAGTTTAAAGAACCTAGAGTCACTGTGTGGCATGAACTTTTTTTAATCTTCGCTGTAAAAACTGTATCATGGTAGTAGTTGCTGATACAATCCCTCTTTCAAGAAAACTGGGATGAAATTATATTACAGAAACTATTGATCCTTATTGACTTCCTGAGAAGACTTAGCCTCAAGAGCAATTCAGAAGAAAACAGTCCCTTTGGATAACCTTAGATAAACTAATTCAAAATAGAAATCTAAATTAAAACAGAAAACCTCAGAACTTCAAAGAGAAAACATTTAAAAAGCAGTGGACATTCAAATCTTATGCAAAACAGCATAAGACAGCAATAAGCCTGGTGAATTAAAAAATAGCACCAACTTGCTCCCAAAGGATAACCTTATCCTGACAGGTAACTGTGCAGAAGATGATTAAAAAGACATGAATAAGAACTATCTATATAATAGAATTTATCTCCCGCTTACCTGCAGACCTGGCTGCTCCCAAAATAATGGAACAGATCCTCGAATTTGTATGAATGATGACACAGAGTCATCTAAAAATATCACCTGTTCAGGAAAAAAAGAAAAACCAACCATAGTGTTCATAGGTGTTACAGAGTATAAAGTTTTAGGTTTCTTAGCCTTAGTTAAACATAGGGTAAATAAAATATATTTACATATTACATATTCCTGTTCCCTGGACTCTTTTCTCTATACCCTCCAATCAATTAATAAAAGAAGTTCTGTGAGTCTCCCGTGTCCTTCCAGAACTGTGATTCACAACATCCAAGAAAACACAGCAAGCTTTTGTTATTTGGGCCTGATAGAATTCTGTGCTACGAATAACTTGTTTTAAAAAAACTTGGTAAGACCTTCCTGAAGGAACAGTTAAAATGTACACCCAATGCACAGAAAATAACAATTCAGCCTACTCAGAACACCTGCATAGATCTTGTGCATCAGAATCCAAGACACAATCGTCTACTAAAGTTTCCTTTCCTGTATACTTAAGTGGAATGACATGCCAATCATCTAGTGACATTAGTCTGGCAAAAAACTTGGATGGAGAAACAGTACACCACTGTTCTGACTAAACTACTGAAACTGGATGTGTACAAGGAGAGCCCTTCCTAGATAAAGTCCTAGTGAAGTCACCGAGGCTTAGCTAAGAGTCAGTGAGTCAACCAAAGATACCTACTCACATGCATACAGTTGCAGGAACATCTTCACAACTAGGTTATCATAAGAAGTAAGCAAAGAAAGGCCAGCAAAGAATGATTTAATAGCTTCTTGCATTTCTGTATAATAAGGGCAAACATATGCAATCAAATGCAACAGAATTACAGTGGCTTTAAGAACTACCGTTCACAAGAGGTGTGTTGAGTAACCCCAGGAATGCTTTTATTTTTCCTGAATCACAAGGTACCATGTATTTGCCAAAAATCTCTTTTGCTTGTTTCTAAGGCTTTTTACTTTTCTACTCACTCAGGCCCAACAACGTACATGCTCACCTACAGCTCAGGAGGCTGAAAGGAAGTACAGCCACCTACAGCAGTTCAGCTGATGGATAACAGCTTCTTAAGCTATTGAAACTCAGACCCATGCATGTCCTTACTCTAAGCTACACTGAAAACCAAGATCATCAAATTACGTAAGCTACTTACATTCTTTATTTAGCAGCAAAGGAACTATTCAAATATCTGTGATCACAGACTCGGCTTGTGATCTGTTGATTTAGGGCAAGAAAACTATCCACAGACATGCTTATCTTGAGTTCATCAGCCCAGCAATGTGCACTGTAGTATAACATACCTGCTCTGTTTCAACAAAATTAGCAACGTGACCATCATCATTTGTTCCCCGAACATTAAATCTGGTGCCAGCCCGTTCACAGCTCAGCCGTGAAATGAGACAAGCCTTTGCCTGCTTGTGAGCCGCATAAATTGTCCTTATCTCTACTCCTCCACACATGAGACGTAACAACCAGTCATCACAGTTCACACCATAGTGCTTCAGATGCAAATGCAGTGACTGGTTCCTATCAGGAGAAAATAAAAAAAGTAACTGGAAGGAAATAAAATACAGCCCAAATTGTTAAGCCAGATACTAACTTCTTATATTTTACACCCACTTACAAATAAGAAAAATATGTATGTTATAGTTTTATGATATAACTCTTATTTAAGCATACCTGAAATAGCAAAGTTTACAAGAGAACAGTTTACATGTTCACACAATAAGAATATGGGGTGAAGCCATGAATGTTAAAGACCTTAAAAAAATAGCCCTTATAGCCTCTGCAAAAAACAACACTCCAAGCTTGTTTATATTTCTCCACTCAGCCGTGTTTTGAGAAGCCAAAGATTACAGACTCTGGGAAAAGCAAGCCAGAATTCCATTTACAGGGTTACGCTTTTGTGATGGATAGAGCACCATTCAATTTCACATCACCACAAAATAAAGCTAGAAAAAAGTCTTGTCAACATACATTGATTATTTCTATTACAAGTGACCATAAGGCATTACTTGCCCAGACAAGCTTCCCGGAATACACTGATAGCCAACTGATTTTCAAATTTCTGTAAATATAAATTTCAGGGGTAAGAGTTGGTACATTATATATTGCATATACTGTTCTCTAATACCAATTACAGCTCAAGTGAAGGAAAGATCCACAACTTCCATAAACCGGTGCATTAATTAGTACCAATCAACACCTTAGTAAGTAAATAAGACTAAAGTTTGGGGTTTGTGGGGTTTTTTGTTTTACCTCACTCTAGTGGGGGTTGGCTTTTTATCTTCTTTGTAAACATTCACTTGTACAAAAAGGAAATAAAGTTTTCTGCCCAGCAAAGACAGTAAACTCTAGTAAGACAGCTGGTTTTGTCACCACCCAGAAAATTCTGCCATAATTGCAAACAACATATTTGACTGAAAGGTTGAAGCTATTCACTTTAATTTTAGCCTTTTCATTCTAAACTTCCAATAAAAAAACAAACCTACAAAACACCTCAGTTCAATCATTAATGAAGATTCAAATCCTGTGAATCAAGTACGCATTCACTTTACAGAAAAGTATTACAACAGGAGACTGAGAAAGCAAACAGTATTCTTCCCCTGGGCAACCTAAGACTGGAACTTTTGAATAGAAAAAGCCCAAGAAAGCTTCCTGAAGTGCATAAGCAGAATACTTTCTGTTATTGACTTCAATGTTTACATTCCTGTATCTTGGAATCTGTGACATTCAATCTACCTCCTGCAAGGACTGATTCTTATTGAAAAAGAGTCAGGTAACTTAAGAAGTCTTCTGACAGCGGTGATAATCAGCCAAGCTTATTTGGACAGGGTCAACAGGCATCATCACTTCCCAAGTCTTGAAATACTAACTTATCAACAGACAGCCCAGTCTTTTTCCAGATGCAGAGACAGACAAACAGCCAGGCTCCTGTAACTCCTGTAAACCTACATCAGAGTAGATGTGTTTCTGAAGACAAGAGCTTATTTTCTGTCTTAATACACATATTTTGTCTTATAGAGCAATCTGATCATAATAATGGCAGAGTGTAGAGTAGCACTGGCACATATGGCAGAGCTGATTTGGCATCCTGTATATTGGACAGGAGAGGCAGGAAGATGTAGCTTTTCACCTGTTCTAATGGCACATCGCCAAATCTTCAGGACTCTTCCAAGGTTCATAGACACATACACCATTTTTAACCATAGCTGAAAATATGGGAGCAGAATTTCTTACATGACAGTATGCGTTACTGGCATTATTTAAGAAGCTTATTGGCAGAAACAGCAAAATTCCTTTTACCAAGAATTCTCTGTGTGAAAACCTATACTTTATTCAAAAATACTCTGTAAATAGATACCGAATTCAGCAGCCACGCAATGTGCACTGTAGCATAGCCTACCCACTCTGTTTAAACAAAAACAGCAACATGACAATTATGTGTACAATAGAACTTCTAAAGCCCTTTCATATGTTGGAAACCTACTTGGAAACTATATACAGCACCACACCTTTTTAGAATTCAGAATGTTCAAAGGATGAAAATTTTCTTTAAAGCTCTATTACCTCACTGATTTTAAAAAATTGACACACTTAATGAAGAATTGAGACACCAAAGCTGAAACATAACATCGTAACAACTGTTCATATCAAAGTATACTATCATAAACATTGAAAATCAGTGTCGTCCAATTAAGAAACTCCAAGTGGCCATGGAATCATTGTATCACTAATAATATACTTATGTCCTTAGAGATAAAATAATGCTATTTTATCTCAACATTTTCATGACAAAGGTGTATATTTAGGAGCTGACAAAGACAAGGCTAAAAACTTGCCACAGTCTAGTCTGCACAGGCATGCATTATTCTACCTAATGGCTGATAAAATGCATTTTGAACTCACCAGAAGAACCTATTGTCAGTGGTGTGCTCTTGCATGCTGCGGTGAGCATTGAGACTAAGATCTAAACTGACCCCAGTTGCAGACCATGCAAAATAAAAGTTGCCCGAGTTCAAAACTTTGCGCACTTCTGAAATACGATCCTCATCTGTTGTATCAATCCGTAAGGATACAAACTCAGTGGAAGTAACTCGAAAAACTTCTGAGTCTTGAATCTTTCCCACCGACATGCATCCTGTTACTAGAACCAGATAATGTAACAATGTGTCTCCTGTAAAACAAGAAAAGGCACATATAACAGAATGAATCTTAGCAGTGTGATGTATTCGATGCACTCACATGCTTAAATGTACACAACCTGATCCCAGAGTGCCTGAAAAAAGTACAAAAAGAATCAACATGAAGAATTCATTCTCAAGTTCTACAGAAGAAAAGAAAATACAAACAGGAGAAACTGTACTGCAAATAACAGGGATTGTGAAAACGGAAGTTATTTTTGTCCACTCCCTCATATCTGGGAGTGCTCCAAACTTGCAAGTTAACCCGACAAAGACAAAAAATAGAAAGAAACAAAGAGCCCAGTTCCTGTTGCAAGGATCCTGTGCTGTGCAGTTTTACAGGACCAGCACAATTCTCTTTCCCAAATGAAAAAATAAAAGTTTTATGTATTTTACTCACCAAGGTTTAATCTCAATACACCCAAGAGCCCATATGCATCCATTACTTTGGAGTAGGTGTTCTTGATTGTGTCTTTTTCTGCAGAAGCTATGGAGAGAAAATGTAAGATTTTATGATGTAGAAGACCATACACTATGGGAGGGAGAATGAGTCTACTCTGAACTGAAAATCTGAGATTATAAAAGTAGCATTTATGTGAAACTTCTGGAAAAAAATCAAAATGCATGAGCATATGGCATTTTATAATGGAAAATGAGTATTTGATTTTATGACAAATTATGATCATGCTATGTTTTTAGGCAACAAAAATAGGACTTGCAAAAACTCCAAGTGATATTAAAGGAGAACATAGGCATTTTTAACATCATCATCTCTTAATATAAAATGCATCTAAAACACAGGCAAATGAGTTCCATGGGCACACTCTCCCTTAATTAGTTAAAATTAGAGTATTGCGAAATGCTGCTTTTCTTTTTTCCATGGAAAAAAAAAAAATCTCCAAGAATAAAACTGTGATGTGGCAGTATTATTTCCAGATAAGTACACAGGATTATCACAAGTGCATTTTAACTAGTTCCAAATATATTCCAAGCAAATAAAAACTTTTGTAAGTTCACAAGATAATGGTATTTAAAAATCATATCTTAGATTAGGAAAACACAATTTTCATAGACTTTTTTTGGGGAAAAAAATGTATTTTATGAGAAGCTGAAGTATATCTACCATTATTCACATGGGAGTTATCGTTAATGTACACTTTAGAACCTTAATCAGCACTTGAAAAACCAGACCCACAAGCCTGACTGCAGAGCCAGGAGACAGAGATGCTGCAGATCCCACCTGTCCTGAGATTTTTGCTCATGACTGAGACTGCACCTTAAGTGCAAAGACCAACAATTCCAGCTGTGCCACTGGATCTACAGGGATCAAGATTTCTGAGTCACCAAGGATCAGCACCTTCTTCCTCCTCAGAAATGACCTGATAATTAATTTTCACTTTGACAATAAAAATTTCATATTAAAAAAAAACAAACCATAAATCAAAACACCCACTGCCCTGGTATTCTGTTGTGCTCTCTTTCACATTGGCTATATTTTCTTTAGAACTGCTGTTGTGAATTTCTCTAATGAGCATTCCCTCAGCTTAGCACAGCTCTGCCTGTGCACAAGCCTATCCCTTCTGTTCAAATGTCCACCAGCTCCATTATAAAAGTGGATCAGAAACTCCAATATAGAAGAAACAATTAGCTAACCTCAGCCTGAAACCTAAGCTCATTCAATGTTTTATTAAGTGCATCTTAAAAGCTTAAATATTTGCACTGATACACTGCATTCCCTTAAACCAGATGCTAAAGATAAGAGAATTACAGCAGCATGATTATTTCCAAAGTCCTCACCCATAATAAGTGTTGAGACTCACAGCTAATCTAAACATATTGTTTACAGACATTGGTTTCGTCTGTAAACCATGTTCTTCTTAACTAGATCACCATCAGGCTGGAAAGAGCAACTTCTAAGCTTCAAAACCTGGAATCCATTTTTCCAGCAAGCATTTAATGAAGTCAGCCTACTCCTATAAACTCAACTTTTGGTAACCAGAGAACTGTTATAGTCTTCTTTCATTTAAAATTATTAATGAAAGATGAGGTCTAGTTTCAAACTTATTGAAGGATTTTTCTTAAAGGTGCCTGTCAGCATTTAATGACATTTCAAAAGAATGTTTTTTCTGTCTTCTATGGATTTATTCTCTTTTCCCATTGCATAGAACACCCATTATAAGTAAATTCCTTAATAAGTAAATGCCTGAAATAAATGAAGTAACATGGGCTTTGCAAATTCAGATCAACAAAAAAGGGTTGCAAAAACAAACAGAAAAAAATGGAAATTTAAAAACTCACTGTGGTTACTGAACTATTTTCCTAGCAAAGCACCCAAGCACCAACCAAAAGCATTTCATACCATGTTTTTCAGTTACATTAGATCTAATACACTGTGAACTCTGAGCAAAGCTTTTCCACAGTGAGTGTGTATTTCTATCTCGCATTGCCTGCGCTTCTCCCATCTTTTGTTCTCACGGGAAAACAGCAAGCTTTGCACACCTCAGGAGGTTCACTTCATCTGTCCTGCCCTGCCCTATCCTCACCTACCTCCACGTTTCAGCTACTGCCTCTGCAGAACCCAAGTCTAGGTGCAAGATGAAAGAATTACAGGATTTGGGGATGACCGATATTAGCTAATACAGAGAGATAAAGAATGGTTATCACATAAACCTTTTCCTTAAGAAACCAAGCCAAAAAGAAAGTAGTCACAAAAGTAGCACTAATAGCAGAAAAAGGGGCAACTCCACAGCACTGCACTGCTGCTGCTTCCCTACCACAGAAGCACCAATCCGTGCTGCTATGCAGGGATATTTTGGACAGTTGGCTGCAGCAGTGCTCAGGCTGCTTTTGGGGTAACGACAGTAAGGGACTTCCCATGATTAGGAGTGCTACAATATTAGGGAAAGGCACTGGAGTTTTCTGCAAGCCAAGATGAACTCGGGAACAAGTCACAGCTACATCACATTCATTTCCATTTTCTTCCATTTGAACTGTTACGAGACCCTGGGGAACAGCATCTCCCTGGGGGCCAGGGTACTGATAGCCATAGGGGCTTCCCCAGGGAGACAGGGCAGGCTGGGGACAGCCCCAGCCAAGGGCATCAGGCACCCCTGTGGGGATGGCCTGAGGCCAGGCCAGGATGTCAGTCTGTGGGCAAGGGTCAGGCCTGGTGAAGGTACCAGGGAACAGATTAAGAGTCCCAGGATGGCCAAGGGACAGGGACAGGCCAAGGATGGGCTGCGCCATCAGCCCTGCTTGGCAGGACCCATGTCTAGGCTGGGTAGGGCTGTGGAGCGCTGGAGACCAGCACTTTGCTGCCTCATTGCTGGAACAGGGACTGACAGCCCTGAAGGGACTGAAATGGGGTTCAGGACCATGGGCTGAGTGGGGGAAGCCCCATGAATGCTGGGCAGATACAGTCAAGACTGGTGGTGTCCTCAGGACCCTGGCACAAACAAGCAGTAATGCTATGAAAACATGAAGATGGTTGTACAGCTGGTTTAGACCAAAAGTCCATTTAGCCTCCAAACATTTATAAGAATTTCCTGAACCAGCACCTCCACCAGTGCTAGCCACAAGGATGCCTTTCATTTATGGATACTAAAAGAAAAAAACCCAAACATGCAGGCTGACTGCCACTGAACATGGCATTTCCCATTTCTGAAGATATCAAAACTCAATTTTCAGGTTTCCATATCACCCCGTACCAGACAGTATGAGTAACAATGTAAATGCTTTGGAACCATCTGGATTCTCCCCTTAAGTACCACATTTAACTCTTCTTCACCAAAGCAGGGAGCTTCACAAAGATCTATGCTCTCTCACTTCATTCAGCATGCAAAGCCACTGGATACAGCTGGATACGCAAGAGCCACTGAAGGGAACCCATCACTACAGAGTCTTACATTCAGTGAATGCAAAGCCAACTTTCAGTTTCCTCTATAAATAGCTGAAATTACTAACTGGGTGAACTGCACCTTAGAAGTTAAACCACAGGAAAGCTAAGGTAATCCCAACAGAAGGAGAGAGCATTTTCAAGAGCATTTCCGAATGCATTTCCTCTCTAACATTCTTAATGCATGAGCACACCTCTTCCCAGAATGGTAGGTTGGTCTGCAGCCACGAGACCCCTTTTGACTTTGATTTATGAGCTCCACATCTTGAAAAGAATTGCAACTAATATGCATATGCACTCAGAAAACAAAACACTCATGTCCTACAAATTAATGGACCTATTTCGCCTTGAGAAATTGACTTTTCTATTTATTTTATCTTTAAATAGCTGGAAGTAAGCAAACATAATTAAGGTTGTCTGAAAAAAATATAAAATGATGTTACTCACTAAGAAGAATGAATTAAGACATGCAACTTCTAAAGACAGAAATTACCAACTGAAATGACAACTTTCATCCATAACACTGGACTTAACAGATTTGAAATTATACTGTAAAGGAGCACTAAACAACAGACAATGCTAGCATACATATACATTTCTGCATATAAAGATGGACACAAAACATTACACGGCAGTATTTCTTCTATGGCTTTGTATGTCTCTAAGCATCTCATCTACATGTCTTTTAAATACCTCCAGGGACGGTGACTCAACCACCTCCCTGCGCAGCCTGTTTCAGTGCTTGACAACCCCTTCAGTGAACACATTTTTTCTAACCTCCCCTGGTATAACCTGAGGCTGTTACCTCTTGTCCTATCACTTGTTACTTGGAAGAAGAGACCGACACCCACTTCACTACAACCTCCTCTCAGGTAGTAGTAGACAGCTACAAGGTCGCTCCCCAGAACCTGTTTTTCTCCAGACGAAACAACTCCAGTTTCCTCCGCTGCTCCTCGTAAGACTTATTCTCCAGATCCCTCACCAGCTTTGTTGCCCTTCTCTGGACACACTCCAGCACCTCCTCATCTCTCTTGGCATGAGAGGCCCAGAACTGAACACAGGATTTGAGGTGTGGCCTCACCAGTGCCCATCACAGCGAGATCATCACTGCCCTGGCACACTAGTGCTGATATAGGCCAGGATGCTGTTGGTCTTCTTGGCTGCCTCTTGGGCACAAGATGGCCCTTCTTCAGCTCTGTCAATCAGCACACCCAGCTCCTTTTCTGCCAGGCTTCAATAAGCTCTTCCCAGCCAAAGCCTGTAGCATTGAATGGGGTTGTGGCCAAACTGCAGGACGCAGCACTTTGCCTTGTTGAACCTCACACCATTGGCCACAGCCCATCTATCCAGCCAGTTTTTTTACCCCGTGAAGTGTATGCCTGTCCAAGCCATGAGCAGCCAGTTTCTCCAGGAGAATGCTGTACGAAACGGTGTCAAAAGCTTTGCTAAAGTCTAGGTAGAAAACATCCGTAGCCTTTCCCTCATCCACTAAGTGGGTCACCTGGTCAGAGAAGGAGATCAGGTTAGTCAAGCAGGACCTGCCTTCCATTAACCCATGCTGACGAGGCCTGATACCCTGGTTGTCCTGTACA